GGTACAATTTTATTCATCTCAAATAAGATAGGCTTTGAAAAAACAAGCATATATAATAAGCATCTTCTACTTTGAGACACCTTACTGAACATGTACATGAATTAGTGATGTCAATTTTAAGGAGCTTACAGGAAATGGCTTGAGATAGTAAAGGTTAAAGTGGCTGAAGATGAGTGGAGGATTATGAAGTAGTTGAGGTGCCCACTTTGTACAAGATGCTTTGTTACCACAACCCAAATGGAGCAAAACCTACTCTGTAACTCCAGGCAGCTTCACTGGCATTTGGTTCTCATTCCTAAATGCTAATCTGTTCAGTTGGTCCCTAGCCAGTACTGAGATAGACTAGAGGTTGGGGGAAGGAACCAAGCAAAGGAAAAGTGAAAAGAAAATACGAATAAGACATAGAATTGTCTGGAGATAGAAATATATGGTATTACCATTTTTAAGGCATTTTACAGTTTACATAGCATACTTTGGTATAAATTGTATTATTAGTTCCATGTTACAGATTAAGAAATTGAAGCTACAAGTCACTCAGCTAGCAAGTGGTAGGGACAGCAGACATTCTGGGAACATGAGTTTTCTGATTGCTTCTGTTTTTTCAGGGAAGTATACAGCAGAGTCATCAACTGAGAATAAGGAGGAGGGAAGGAGGTGTCAGAGATTAGAGAAATGAGGAGAAGGCGAGGAACAATCTCCTAGGGGCTTAGGAGCATGAATGGGATATTTAACAGTATTGACAGGCAACATCAAGAACCCACCTTGGTTTAGTGATCATAGATTTAAAGTCCAACCAGTGAGAAGCTCATTCAGCTTCTCACATTCAGGCATTGACTTGGTTTCGCCCAGGACTAGAATTTTCCTAAGTGACCATGAATATATGTATTCTTAATACCCTGCCCCGCCTGCTCTCTGAAAACTAATGAACTCTCCAGGCCCCAGTTTAAAGCCAGTATCTCCACAGGTGCACTGGATCCCATTTCCTCTCAAGATACCACTCACTGCTGAAAAGATGTCGCTCACTGCTGAAATTGATGATAATGAATAACATAACATAATCTAATCCAGAAAGGAAGGAAGCAAAGAGATGGGTATCAGGGACTCCTGCGAGATAGAATGAGAAGGTGGTACATTTGGGAGGTCTAAAGGGGTTACTGAATTATTGGAATTAGAATCAAAGGGATGGCCAGTGCAGTGGCTCATGCCTGTAATCCCAGCATGTTGGGAATCTGAGGCAGGTGGATCACTTGAGGCCAGGAGTTCAAGACCAGCCTAGCCAACATGGCAAAATCCCATCTCTACTAAAAATACAAAAATTAGCCAGGTATGGTGACATATGCCTGTAATCCCAGCTACTCAGGAGGCTGAGGCACAAGAATCACTTGAACCCAGTAGGCGAAGGTTGCAGTGAGCCAAGAACATGCCACTATCCTCCAGTTTGGGTGACAGAGAGAGAGCCTGTCTTAAAAAAAAAAAAAAAAAAAAAAAAAAAAAAACAAAGAGAAATGTAAATATATATCTACCTATTGTGTACTCACAGAAATTAAAATTAAAAATAAGTAGAATCAAAGGGAAATATTTGAAATGGCAGCCCGAGAGTAGCATACTTAAAATCAGATTAGAAAGAGTTCAGTCATTATAATGGCAAGATTATAGAGTGTGACCATGGAAGAAGATAAATGAGTTGGAGTGAATAGTAAGATTGTTGAAGGAGAAGAGGACAAGGAACTGAGAGCCCACTGTATTGGAAGGATCATCTATTTGAAGATTGATTTAATCAAGAAGCAGGGGTCAACAGCAGTGAGCAAACCTAGTGCCCAGATCTTGGTCTCTAATTCCATTTTCCACTAAAAGGAACCAGAACTCTTTGGAGACATGGCTGATGCCAGATAAAAGTATTTCATCATTGTAAATCTGTGAAGTTGATAACAACTTTGGTTTTGTAAGAAAATATCCTTATTAGGAAATACACACATTGAAATATTTAAGGGTAAAGGTCCATAATGTATGTATAATTCAGAAAACAAATTATGCACATTCCTGTATGTGACAGAGAGAGAGAGAGAATACAAATGATAAAGCAAACGGGATAAAATGTAACAATCGGTAAATCCAGATAGAGGACATACAGTATTCCTCGTACTGTTTTTATTTTCGCAGTAAATTTGAGTAAATTTGAGATTACAGTGGCATGGGTCCACTTATACACAGATTTTTTTCAACCAAAGGCAGATCAAAAGTACTATATTCATGGGATATAAAACCTGTATATATAGAGAGCCAACTTTTGCTGTACACAGATTCCTCAGGACCCACCGTGGGACTTGAATATGTGTGGATTTAGGTGGGGGGGTGGGTGTTATGGTCCTGAAATCAATCCTCCTTGTATACTGAGGGGAGACTATATTTCCAAAAAAACAAAAACTACGACAAGAGTGATATTGGAGAGAGATACACAGTCATCCACTTAGCTAAGTGTTGGACTTGGACTGATTATATTCTGTGCAGTAAAATCAGGATAAGCAGCAGATTATTTACATCTCCAGTCTTTTGGAAACTTACATTTTCACTTTGATATTTTTATTTTGTTCTTTGTTTTTGACATGATGACGTTTCATTTTTAGTTCTTTTATGTCAATAACGTTTTATACCCAAAACTATAATATTCTTTTTATATAGCTTTATAGGTCTTTTGAACTTAAGTCATCTCTTAACCTTCATTTTCACAAGGTTCTCAGAGCATCAGTCAATAACCTTGGAAGCCTGGGATTCTTTCTATGCTTTTTTAAAAAACAGTTTTATTAAGATATAATTCACATATCATATAACTCACCCATTAAAGTATACAAGTCAGTGGTTTTTAGTATATTCACAGTCAATTTTAAAACATTTCATCACCCCAATAAGCAACCTCATATCAGTTAGCACTCACTCCTCAAATACACCACTGCCCCACTGCAATTTCCAATCGACTTTTGCACATATAGATTTGCCTAATCTGGATATTTCATATAAATGTAACCATTTAATATATGGCTTTTGTGGTTGTTTTTTTCACATAGAATAATGTTTTCAGAATTCACCTATGTTGTAGTATGTATCAGAGCTTTATTCCTTTGTGTTGCTAAGTAATGTTCCATTGTGTGGTTATTCTACATTTTATTTGTCAGTTGGTTGACATTTGGGTTTCTATTTTGTTATTATGAATAAATGCTGCTATGAATATTTGTGTACAGATTTTTGTGTGAACATATGTTTTTATTTCTCTTAAATATATCACTAGGAGTTGAGCTGCTGTGTCACATGGTCACTCTGTATCTACCTTTGAGGAAAGACCAGATTGTTTCCAAGCAGCTCCTCCAATTTTTCATTCCCACCAGCAATGTGTGAGGGTTCAGTTTTTCTACATCCTGGCCAGCATTTATTATTACCTGTCTTCCTGATAATAGCATCCAAGAGGGTGTGACATGGACCTGTCTATACTTTTAAACCCTCAAAATACGATCAGTCCTCAATAATAAAAGATCTCCACCCTTTTCTAGCAGCAAGCATATCTCCTCATTAAATACTGAACACACAAAGCAAACTGAAATAAAATAACATAAAAATTCTTACATATCTAGCAGCAGGCATATCTCCTCATTAAATACTGAGCACACAAAACAAATTGAAATAAAATAACATAAAAATTATTTCCCTTTCCCATATCTTTGTTCTTCAAAATTAATTGGAGAGACTCTCAAGAGAAGTAAGAGAGATTGGATTTTTAAAATTGTACAGCTAGAGCTTATAACATTTAAATGCCCATTATAGTCAGATGTATATTTAGCATCTGACCCCCCACCCCAAGTCTGCCATACCCACTGATACCACTCACCATGGCCACTTACACTTTCAGAGTGCCTTATTCAGGAGCCTCTCCCCATCCTTACCTTGGCACAGACCCCATCATTTGCTTTCTCTTGGGAGCTCAGTTTCTATTAGTATTAGTTCATATTATTGATTAAGTTGGATTTTGTGGACTCTTGTAAGTGCTTAAGCATTATCTTTTTAACATAGTTCTACAGGAAAATAAATATATTTTCAGGTCACCACCTTAGAACACAGCTTGTTTGCAAGTTTGTCATTATCTGTGTCCATGAGGAAAGTCAAAATAAATTGGAGTTGTTTAACTTGGTTATGCTTCCTATGTCCTGATCAAGTTTAATTTATCTTTAAATAATAATTGTTATAGAGGATTAGATTAAAATCTGATCAATATGAGAATGGTTGATATATTTTTTCTTAAATTTGAACCATGACAGTTAGAGATAATAAAGCATTCTATGTCCCTTTCCCTAAAACTCATGAATTTAGAAGTAAATTAAAGGTCAAGTGTAGAAAAGTTTTAATACCACGTCTACTGATAATCTATACGCAGTATAATTTTGGGCTTTTTTTAATCTATAAAAGATCAAAGTAATACCCTCTTTGCACCATTCATTTCATTAGTGTATTAGGATGGCTGTCAAATATACATGGAAATTAGGTTTATTTTTATTTCTCTAACCATCCCCTTTTTCCCTCTTTCCCCTCTCTCTCTCTCTCCTCTCCTTTCCTCCTTCTTTATTTGCGGGCTTATTTGTGAATATTTGAATAGAAAGAAGCCCAATTGGCAGTTGCCAGAAGGTATTCCTTAGGATTACTATGTTATTATATCAAAATAATAGCACACATGGAGCATTTGGGTCACACCTGCCTCAAGAGTCCATCGGCTGTGAAGTATTAACGGAGCCGTTCTTCCCATGCAGGACCAATTGTACTTCCACATCTATGTTGTTTTCTCTACACAGATTGCTGGCTTTACCTCAAGTCCAAAGCTTTAACTTGACCTGAATATTTCCAGTTAACATTCTCTTTGTCAGAGGGGCATGAACTTCTCCCCGCTTAAAGAATGTGTGTGTGTGTGTGTGTGTGTGTGAATTATTTTGACACATTCTTTCGATGTTGAATTCTTACAGCTCTCCACACAAGGAGATGCAAGTCAGGTGATTGGGCCTCTTACTGAAGGACAGAGAAGAAATGTGGCAGTAGTGAATTCATTGTATAAGTTGCACCAATCAGTAACAAAGGTAATCTTTATTTTAGTAAGTTTTTTTTACTTAGTTTTAAATTCTTCTTCTTGCCTCAAATTTGGACAGTTTACAAATTGTTATTTAATACTTTGGAAAAGAATACAATGAAAATGTGGTGATTATAAAATAAACTAAGGAGTTAACTCTTTTAAACAGTCTTTGATTCTGGCCTTCATTGTTTGTATGACTTTTTGTTTGTACATTCAGTTTAAAACACATGAACTGTAGATCTTCAAGTTAATTAAGTTTATTGAGCAAATTATTGGAGGACAAATCATACATATTTCATACTTATTGAAATGTGTAATTTGATATAGTGTGGATGATAGTAAATTGTAGCAAAGCTGATAACAGAATAAGAATGCTGAAGCCCTCCAACATGTCAAAAATGTTCTATTAATATCTTTGCATTAAAAAGTCAGGGAGGAACTATATTAAAAACTGAATTTTTATGATATAATCACTGATGAATGCTTACAAATAGATAATGTGTATTCATTTTGCTGTTTTTCTACTAGGCATTTAAAAGAAATGGCTGAACCTTAACTTGTTTGCCTCCATATATTATGTCTAAGGTGAACTGTATTGTTAATTACTAAAAAAGCAACACTTCCAAGTCCATCTGTGTCTTTGGAGTAGCTTGTGCTTAATTATTCTCTATAGGTCATTTTTGAAATATGTTATAAATAGGAAGATAATAATTTAGAGGACCTGAAGAAAGCTGATGGCTAAATGATGTTCTTGAAAACTTGACTTACAGTATATGAGCTTTAATATGCTAGATTGTGTTTTAGAATAATTCTAAGTGTTACTCACTTATTTAAAGATTTTAACAAGTCCTTTTATCAATTAGGGGTTTCTAAAAATGTGTATTTTACACACTAAACAAAAGGCATGTTAAAGAGTTATTAACAGGTAAATCTCAGAATGGTAAAAATTATTTAAAAAACACTAAATGATGAATTTTCCATTTTCTTTAATCATTACTCCAGAGCACCATAAGCAAAGAAAGATTGTGTTCTATCTAGCCTACTTTAAATGTCTTTATTGATGTTTTCAAAATTTTCATGATGTTTGTATTGATTTGTAAAAATTGAAATGCTGACATTTTTATTTTAAAGACTTGTTGGAAATTAGAGTCAGCCTAAAGACATGAGTGAAAGAAATGAGTAAATATGGCTTTATACTGACCTTTTCCAGTTTAAACTTTATAATTAAAACCTATGTAACATGAATAAAGGAAACCTAGCTCTCAGTATTTATTATTGTTATTTGAAGTATGTATTTTCTTTATAGACAAAATTATTTTTCAACCTATCTTAATAAATACTGATTTTTAAAATCATGTATAAGATATTACTATAAAGCAATGATAATATTGTATATATAGTTTGTGGAAACAGTTTTATTATGCTATGATCACAATTAGTATTTACAGAAATAGATTTAAGCAAAACTATAACTGGATCAAAACCTTGTTCTAGGTTGTTTCCAGTCAGAGCTCATTCCCACCGGCAGCTGAGCAAACTATAATTTCAGCTCTAAAGGTAAAAGAATTTAATATTTGACTCTATAGATCAAAGTGGTTTTAGGATTATTTGTTTTGCTGAGTGGGCAATGTCACATTTTATAATTCAGAATCCTGTATATATACAAAAGTAGCATGTTGATAATTATCCTAAAGAGAGTAGATAACGAGTGTGTTTATGTTTTCTAGAATTTAAAAATAGACCCTTTTAGTGTCTACAGATTGTGTTCTACTTATGACAGTTATATATATAGAAGCAAGAGTTTTTTTGTTGCTGTTTATATTTTCTTTTTTGTTTTTTATTATACTTTAAGTTCTAGGGTACATGTGCACAGCATGCAGGTTTGTTACATATGTATACATGTACCATGTTGGTGTGCGGCACCCATTAACTCATCATTTACATTAGGTATATCTCATAATGCTATCCCTCCCCCCTCCTACACAGTGGAATACTATGCAGCCATAAAAAAGGATGAGTTCATGTCCTTTGTAGGGACATGGTTGCAGATGGAAACCATCATTCTCAGCAAACTCTATCGCAAGAACAGAAAACCAAACAGCACATGTTCTCACTTATAGGTGGGAACTGAACAATGAGAACACTTGGACACAGGAAGGGGAACATCACACTCCGGGGCCTGTTGTTAGAAGCAAGAGTCTTACATGTATTTATCTAATGGCAGTACAACCCAGTATTATTCCAGTAAAGCAGTGGTTCTCCACCAGAATCATTTTGTCCCCTAGGTGGCATTTGACAGCATCTGGAGACATTCTGGATTGTCATGACAAGGTGGAGATGCTACTGACATCTAGTGAGTAGAAGCCAAGGATTTTGCTGAACATCTTGCAATGCAGAGGACAGTGCCCACCCCTCTCTCATAAGAGAATTTTCCAGCCCAAAATGTCAGTAATGCCAAGGTTGAGAAACCCCACTTTAAACTGAGGCATAAAACCAGAATGTATTCTCATTTTTTGTGTACAAACATAAGTATACCCCCTTTCTATTATTTAGGAAATTTCATAGAAAATAATGGTATGAGATTCAGAGCCATATGTAGTTGACAGTATCTCTTTTAAAAGCAGGCAAATTATTCATTCTTACAACAGTACTAGAGAGGTACATTTTGAAATATTACTACAACCCTTCAAGTTATGTATTTGTATTCCCACTTTATACATCTTAGAAATAATATCTTGCTCAAGGTCATATCGCTGGTAAATGCAGACCTCATTAACTCTAAAGAGTTATGTCTACTACACTTTGCCACCATCATTCCTTTATTTGCTAATATTTATTCAGTACTTGGTGAGTAAGTAACTAAGGCCATATAGCATAGACTCTGGAGCCAAACTACCTGTATATGAATCCCATCTCAGCTATTTAACCAGCTGTATGGTTAAATAAGCTCAAATGACCTCAAACAAGTAAATAAGCTCTCTCTTGCCTTAGTTTCTGCGTCTATAAAATGGTACAATAAACCTACACAAAGGTAATAGATTTCAACTATTATATTGGATTTACATCTCTAAGGGAGAGTTTTAAAATTGAGATGAAAGTCTACAAGTAAACCCTAAGGAGAAACACGTATTTAGAGAAAAGAGGAAACAAGGAAAGAACAATCAGAAGAAGGAAGAAAATTAGGAGAATACTGTGTTGCAAATCCTAGAGGGGAGGGGAGCTTCTAAAGTCAAATGCTTTAGAATTTACAGGGAATGAGGATTTAACATGCACCAAAATATAACTAAATTCATATATGAATGGATTGATTCATTGAGGGTAAGAGAAGGAGACAGTCTGTTTTCCCCCAGTGTATTAAAAGTACACTTGTATGTTTTCTCTATATCCCTTTTTCCCCCAATGTGCTCTAAATATTTTTCCATAATAAAATAATTGTTTTTAGTAAGGTTGTCATACGTATTGTTGATCATAACATCAGGTCAATACAACAAGCCTTAAAGTCTTAACATTCTTGGTTCCAGACAGGGAATGGATACTCTTCTATAATTCCATATTTTTTTCTTCTAGCAGTAACTATCAAACATTTTTTGATAACTACCCAAAATAAGTACATTTTACTTTGTGCCCTCATACATAATACATAAGCATTTATAAATATATATACACGTATGTAATTGCATAAAGTGTACTTCTCTACACATTTATAATTGATACAGAAGTTTCACAAAATAATACTTATCCTTATTTTGTGTATGCATTCTAATATTTTCTGTGCTAGTCTATTACTTTTTAAAACATCACGATAGTGACCCACTGAATTGATTTTTTTTGACCTCGAGTGGTCCGACACAACCCATAGTTTCAGAAAGTCCATTCTCTGGATTAAGACAGAGTGCCTTCACTTTGATGATAAAAATCACTTGGAGAGTTAAAAATAGAAATTACTCATGGACTGTATTTCAGTATAGGGTAGTTTCTCTGAATCTTTATTTTTAACAGACCACAAAGATTATTCTTTTAATATTAGTCACTTTAGACAGGGAGCTGGAGTCAGTGCAGGGAAAATTGCCCTAATCCTGGGCTGTAACTGTCACTCTCAGGTTTGCTTACCAGGACCAGTGCTGTGTGTAGCTGGGTCTGTACTTCACTAGGACATACCAATTTTGCCTTTATGAACTGGATAACAGAAGACTAGCAATAAGTACAAGGCCCTCCTGCAGTGACCTCATCAGTTGGAGACTTCACTGCTCATGTTAATACACTCACTGAAAGTTTTAACTTTGCTCTTTAAGTCTTATAAAAAAACTGTTATGACTTATTAAGTGAAAAGTAAACAAAACCCCTGACTTAGAATAAAAAGGAATGTTGAAATTTCATACAATTGTTGGAAATTTAATAAATCACTTTGAATTCAAGGTAGAAAGTTATGATGTATAAATGCCTGCAGCCGAAACCAGAAATCTGTTTGATTTTATTTGATAGAGAAGATATGAAATGTACTTTTTAACTTACTGAAAAATATATAGACTTATAACAGTACTTTCTTCTCTACCTTGAGATTTTATCCAAAATTAAATGTTATTTTAGCTTGAGGTTCATCATTACATATTCTTTTTTTTCATTTATTCAGAAATATTTATTGTCTATCATATGCCAGGTATTAGTGATACACAGTGAAAGTAACAAATAAAGTCCTTTCCCGTGTAGAGCTTTTATTGTCGTGAGGAGTCCAGTGGTGACAAGTGCTATGATAAAAAATAGAGCACAGTAAAGGATAGAGAATGGGGATGGAAGGAAAGTGCTATTTTATATAGGCTTCTCCAATCAAGAGACATTTTAGCAAAAATCTGAAGGAACTGAAGGAGTGAGCCAAGCAGCCATCTGGGGCAAGTGTTCCAGGAATAGAGACCTGAATTGGACAGGCTTGTAATAGTCACAGAACAGCCAGGAGGCCAGAGTGGCTGGAACAGAGTGAGTGAGAGCAGAGGAGCAGGAGTGAAGTTGGAGAGGGAGCAGAGCAGGGATGGGGTAGAGAGCAGAACATGCAGTCTCCATCATCACATATTCTAAAAATTGTCTAATATGTCATGAATGGCATAATTAATATTGAGTATACATTTAGAGTTATTTCATTATAACCACCATAGCTATATAAGTACCATTTAAACCCCTTGGCCCAGTAATTCTGATCCATTTTTTTCTGAGATTTGTCTTGTGTAGATAGTGATTACATTGCCAAATTTATATATGGCAATGCTTCTTTCTCCCTTTTTGTGTGGGTTTGATGTTCTATATGAAGGAATATTCCAGATTGCTGAGGCTCCAATATTTTTGTAATTTTAACTATTTTAGGTAAATCTTTTAAAAATGTATAACATATTTCCCTGCTTTGTAAAGAGCATATGAAATATAATCTAATCTCCTTTCTCAGTTTCCTTGTTAATTGTTAGTTTCTATCCATCCTTAAAATGAAGGCATTCCCCAAGATGCTCTCTTCTCTTCCTATTTCATATTTTCCCTAAGTGGGAAACCTCACCCAGCAGTACGGTTTTCCCTGTAAACCACCATTTCTTATGCAAATAGAGATTTTTATTTCTTACTTTCTGATCTTTATGCCTGTTTTTCCATGCCTTGTTTCACTGTCCAGGATCTGTAGTACAGTGTTGAATAGAACTGGTGAGAATAGACCTCATTTACTTGTTTCTGACCTGGGGGTAAAGCATTCAGTATTTTACTGTTTTAAGTATAGTATTAGCTATAGGTTAATGATATAATAATGTTAGCTGTAGGTTTTTGATAGATGACCTTTGTCAGACTAAACAAGTTCCCTTCTATTCTTAGTTTTCTATTTTTTATTATAAATGGTGTTGTTTCATTAAATAGCTTTTTCCACATCTATTGAAATAATCATATAGCTCTACTCTTTTATTCTGCTAATGAAGTATATTATAGTAATTTATTTTCAAATATCAAACCAACCTTAGTCACGATGTATTACCCTTTTTATGTATTGCTGGATATTTAATGTATCCTTTTATGTATTCCTGGATACTGGTTTACTTAATTTTTATTAAGGATACTTACATCTATATTCATAAGGAATATTGTCATTAAATTTTCTGTCTTTATTTGGTTTTGGTAGCAAGTTAGTACTGGCTTCACTAAATGAGTTTGAAAGTGTTTCCTCCTCTTCTGTTTCCTAGAAGAGTTTGTATAGAATTTGTTTCTGTTTTTGTTTTCGTTTTTTCCTCAAGTGTTTAGTAGAAGTCACCAGTGAAGCCATCTGGGCCTGTAGTTTTCTCTGTAGAAAGGCTTGTAGCTACACATTAATTCATTTAATAGAGAAAGGGCTATTTGTGGTATCTATTCTTTTTGAATGAGCTTTGATATTTTGTGACGTTGAAGGTATTTATCTACTCATCTTAGTTATCTAATTTGTCAGAAAAATCTATGTAATACTTACTATCCTTTTGTGGTTTGTTTAAAGACAGGGTTCCACTATGCTGCCCAGGCTGGAGTGCAGTGGCTATTCACTGGCACAATTATGGCGTGCTACAGCCTTGAACTCCTGTGCTCAAGGGATCCTTCTGCCTGAGCCTTTGAAGTGGCTGGGACTACAGTCATAAACCACCGTGCTGAGCTCACTTAACTGTCTTTTTGATGTCTTTGGGACCTATAAGAATAACCTCTTTTTCATTTTTGATACTGTTGATTTGTGTTCTCTTCTGTTTTTTTCTCGATCAATCTAGCTAGGAGTTTAGCAACTGTGTTAATCTTTTCAGTGAAACAGCTTTTAGCTTTATTAGTTTTCTCTGTTTTCTATTTCATAGATTTCTGCTTTTATCTTTTTTTATTTTCTTCTTTTTGTTAGTTTCAATATTTTCTGTTTATCTTTGGATTTATGAGTTTTCTTTGCTATTTTTTAAGATTATTTGAGACTTTACATCAGTAATTTTAGACCACTTTCCCCACAAATAAACATTTAACGTTGTAAATTTTCTACTAGCACTGCAATTTTTCTGTGTAATACTTGTATCTTCATTCAGGTTGAAATATTTTTCTAATTTCCTTTGTGATTTCTTATTTGTGTCATGGATTATTTAGAAGTGTGTTTTTAAAATTTCTAATTACTTTTGGGTTCTGAATATATCTTGTTACTGATTTCTAATTTAATTCTGATAACAGAATTAAATGTTGATGATTTTACCTTTTTTTAAGCAAAAGCAAGTCTATTAAGAAAATAAACAAAAGAATGGATACTTCATAGGCAGAGCAGCCAAATGATGATCTTTAATGATTATTTTAAATCATCATTTAAAATCTGATGAGTTTAAATTAAATTTTATCATATGAGTGTGATGGCAAAGAACACTGCTAATTTTCTTTTGCCAGAAATGTATTTCACTTCATCTTTGAAAGATATTTATACAGAAAATAGAAATATGGGTTTGAGAGATATTTTTCTCTCAGCACTTAAAATATGTTCCAGTTTTCTGGCCTCCATGCTTTCTGATAAGAAGTTATTAAAATTAATTCCCTTGTATGTAATCTTTTTTTTTTTTTTTTTTTTTTTTCTTTTTTTTAATTTTTTTTTTTTTTTTTTTTTTTTTGGCTAGTTTCAAGATTTTCTGTTTATCTTTGCTTTTCAGCAGTTTATGATGTGCATAGTTCTCACAAAATTATCCTGTTTGGGATCTGCTGATTTTCCTGAATCTGTAAATTCGTGCTTTTCATTATTTTGGGAAGTATGAGGCCTTTTTCCCTCCCAAGTAGTTTTGCTGCCTCATTCTCTCTCTGCCCCATTGTTTTTTCTTCTTACAGGACTCCAGTGACCAGTATATTAGATATTTTGCAGTTGTTTCATAGGTTTAATTATTTTTTAGTGTTTTTTTCTCTTCTCCTCCAGAGAGATTTCTGTTAGTTCTATCTTAAGGTTCATTGATTCTTTCCTCTGTCATCTCTATGCATAATTCTTCTACTAAGCCTATCCAGTGAATTTTACAATTTCAGATACTATATTATTTTAGTTTAAAATTACCTTTTCTTAAATATATATCTTCATTCACTCTACTGAGATTTCCTATTATTTTATTTATTGTGAGAATATTTTTCCTTGCCTCATTGAGGTTCTTGCCTGATAATTCTGGAGTCCGGTTCATTTCAGGGTTAGCATCTCTTGATTGTCTTTTCCCTTGAGAACTGATAAAATTTCCCAGCATTTTATATGTGTAGTAATTTTGAATAAATCCTGAACACTGTGAATGTTATGTTGTGTAGAAACAGGATTTTTTTTTCTTTTTTTTTTTTTACATTTCTTATAAGCATGTTGGTAATTTTGCTTTAGCAGGCAATTAACTTGGTTATATTCAAACTGTGTACTGTCATACCTTCAGTTGGCCACACCTCAATCAGTTCACTTCTTTAAGCCTCAATTGCAAGCCACATTTAGTTTGCTCTGCACATGCATTGTTGACGAGTTAGCTGAAGACTCGTGCCAAGTTTAAACTTAAAATTAGGCAGTCTTCTCTGGCTCTGTCCTTTTTAAGCTCCCTCTCTCACTCTGCAGCAGCTCTGTACCACTGCTGTGGCCTTATGGTTGTACTCCTTTTTGTAGTCTATTTATCCAGTTTACTTTCCAACATGGTTTTTTCCTAAATCCAAATCATTAACCACATTTTGTGTATTGCTTAAAACCCATCATTGGTTTCCTGGTTCCTTTAGGATAAATTCCTAACTTCTTAGTAGCCTATACAAAGTACACCTCTTGCTGCCTCTGTCTCTTCCAGGCACTTATGCTCCATATGTGCTGAATGTCTTGTGGTTTCCCAAGTGCCTCAGTTTTCCCAAACTCCTATGCCTGGGAATCCAAAACTTTTTGAGTGTCAACATGATGCTCAAAGGAAGGTGCTCACTGGACCTTTTCAGATTTTGGATTTTTGGGTTACTCGACCTGCATAACTTTTTAACTATTCTCACTAGACTCTGAGCTCCTGTATGGAGGGCAAACTATATGTACACACACACACACACACACACACACACACACACGCATACAATCCTGTACATTGTATATTTATTTTTACCAGAGATTAAGGGTTATAGATTAGGAATTTAATGATTAAGGGTCCTATATTTTACCTTTCCTCATTGATTTTGATCATTTGTATGAGCCAGAACTGTCTATCTTCATTATATTTAATTATCTTTGAAGTGTATATAACATATTTACATTTTTTATTTTATGTGTTTTGAGCCTCGGTCATTATTTTCACACTAAAAAGCCATAACTAAGACCTAGGATTTTACTTCAAGTAACTGATGATTTATACCTCCCTGTTGAACAGTTTCCCAACCATGGCACTATCAACATTTTGAGCTGGGTAATTCTTTGTTATAGGGGCTGTTCTGTATTCCGTAAGATGTTTAGCAGTATCTTTGTTCTCTACCTACCAGATGCTAGTAACAAATTTGTACCCCCATCCCCAACTGTGACAATAAAAAATGTCTTTAAGCAATACCAAATGTTTCCTGGGGAGCAAAATTGCCCACATTTGAGAGTCACTGCCTTAGAACTCTCAACAGAAACCTAATTCATGAAATGCCCAACTGTTGTGCCTATTAGAAACATTGTACTAGAGCCTACTTAAAGGGTAGAAGGTGGGAACAGGGGAAGGAGCAGAAAAAACTAACTATTGGGTACCAGGCTTGGTGCCTGGGTGATGAAATAATCTGTACAACAAATCCCCATGACACAGCAAACCCCTATATAATAAATCTGCACATGTACCCTTGAACCTAATGGTTTAAAAAAAAGAACCAATGTCTATTTATTATATTTTCTCTGGTTAAAAGCATATGATGTTGTTCCAATTCTTAAATAATTACTTTTGGTCTTGCCTAACTCTTTTGCGAAACTTAAATGTGTTTGTTTAACCTTTACCTCATTAGTGGTACTACTGTCTTCTTGCATCTGCGTTCCTTTCTCCCTGGGCTTATTTAACTACTGAACCTTCTGGAAAAAATAAGAAGAGTGGGGATGTTGAAATTTTTTAGTGCCATGTTCCACATATTTTAAGCTTTAAAAATCATTACTGACAGTGGTTAGGGAGAGGAGCAGACTTCTGTTAACTTAGTCTGCATTTGATATAATATGACAACTGTTAGTCACGGTGTTACTCACATCTCAAATTTCTTTGGATTGTTTTCTTTAATTTTGCCTCTTCTTTTTCTTTTTCTTTTTCTTTTTTATTTTCTTCAGGCTATTCATACTCTTATGGAAAATGCTGTGCAACCCTTACTCACTTCTGTGGGAGATGCTATAGAGGCCATAATCATCACCATGCATCAAGAAGACTTTTCTGGGTAATTACTTTTAACCAAATTTTTACTAACTTTTACTGCCTTTGTTTTGTGTTCCCACCTCTATGCTTACTCCCTAAGCTGCGGCCCTGCCATCCAGGCCCTTGTTCCTTTTGTGATGGCATTAGCTTTCAGCCCTCTTCATTACCCATTGTGAGCGCCATTCACAGATTAAAATTTTTCTGTTCTCATTTTCATCACTTTTTAAAAATTTTTTCTTTATGAATAGTATCACATTACATGCACATACATTTCTGTCTTATTGAAACATAAAATGAGTCTGTGGGACTCAGCCTGGTACTTCAGGACTTTTGGTAGTTTGTACCCTCTTCCCTTTCCAAGCTTGTCCTTTTCCTTACTTCTCACAAATACCCTCTACTTCAGTCCCTTTGTTACCCCTTGGCATAGGCATGGTATTCCTTGTATAAAATGCCCTGCCTCTGCCACTGTGCTTATCCAAATCCTGCTTTGGCTCTGGGCAAGCTCTGACTCAGCCTCTTCCAAGATTGATTTTTCTTCCTCGGAGGTTATGTGGCAATCTAATCTGATCACATCACACCTAGCCACAAACACTACAGTGTTATTCCAAACCTGTTTCATATGTGTCTTGCTCATGCATGTCATAGGTATCCTGAGAATAATAATCATAGTTCCTAACCCAGTGTTTACAGAAATCTTTTAAAATAGAGTAAAATGGTTTTGGTTCAGTGTATTAGAAAACTGTGGAGCATTTAGGATAGTTATTTGCAAATGTTTGCTGTGATTTTTAAAAAACTTAATCACACTACAGCTAAACACTCAAATATTAATATGTAGATATATATTTTATAGTCCCAAGTCCATAGTTACTATTTTTGAACAGTCCTATTTCTCTTTACATTCTTGTTGTTTTAAAGAATATCTGTTTTATGAAATTTCCATCTACTAGTTTAACTATTTATAGAAAAATATTATTTCACTGTCTTCTACTTTTTCAAATTATTCATTATTTCATTTACAAAGTTTCTTTTTTTTTTTTTAACTTTTATATTAGGTTTGGGGGCACATGTGAAGGTTTGTTATATAGGTAAACGCATGTCGTGGGGATTTGTTGTACATATTATTTCATCACCCAGGTGTTAAGCCCAGTACCCTGTCGTTATTGTTTCTGCTCCTCTCCCTCCCACCCTCCTCCATCAAGTAGACCCCAGTGTCTGTTGTTTCCTTCTTTGTATTCGTAAGTTCTCATTATTTAGCTCCCACTTATAAGTGAGAACATGTGGTATTTGGTTTTCTGTTCCTGCAATAGGTTGCTGAGAATAATAGCCTCTAGCTCCACCCATGTTCCCGCAAAAAACATGATCTTGTTATTTTTATGGCTGCATAGTATTCTATGATGTATATGTTCCACATTTTCTTTATCTGTTATGTCATTGATGGGCATTTAGGTTGATTCCATGTCTTTGCTATTGTGAGTAGTGCTGCAATGAACATTCGCATGCATGTGTTTTTATGGTAGAATGATTTATATTCCTCTGGATATATACCCAGTAATGGGATTGCTGGGTCAAATGGTAGTTCTGCTTTCAGCCCTTTGTGGAATCACCATACTGCTTTCCACAATGGTTGAACTAATTTACACTCCCACCAACAGTGTATAAGTGTTCCCTTTTCTCTGCAACCTTGCCAGCATCTGTTATTTTTTTGCCTTTTTAATGATAACCATTCTGACTGGTGTGAATGGTATCTCATTGCGGTTTTGATTTTTTTTTTTTTTTTTGAGACGGAGTCTCGCTCTGTCACCCAGGCTGGAGTGCAGTGGTGGGATCTCGACTCACTACAAGCTCTGCCTCCCAGGTTCACACCATTCTCCTGCCTCAGCCTCCCCAGTAGCTGGGACTACAGGCACCCGCCACCACACCCGGCTAATTTTTGTATTTTTAGTAGAGACAGGGTTTCACCTTGTTAGCCAGGATGATCTCGATCTCCTGACCTCGTGATCCACCTGCCTCGGCCTCCCAAAGTGCTGGGATTACAGGCGTGAGCCACCGTGCCCGGCCTTGATTTGCATTTCTCTAATGATCAGTGGTGTTGAGTATTTTTTCATGTGATTGCTGGCTGCATGTATGTCTTCTTTTGAGAAGTGTCTGTTCATGTCTTTTGCACACTTTTTAATGGGGTTGTTTTCTTTTGTGAATTTGTTTAAGTTCCTTGTGGATTCTGGATCTTAGACCTTTGTCAGATGCATAGTTTGCAAATATTTTCTTCCATTCTGTAGGTTATCTGTTTACTCTGTTGATAATTTCTTTTGCTGTACAGAAGCTCTTAGGTTTAATTAGATCCCACTTAGCAATTTTGGCTTTTATTGCGATTGCTTCTGGAGTCTTTGTTATGAAATCTTTGCCTATTCCTTTGTCCAGGATAGTATTGCCTACGTTGTCTTCCAGGGTTTTTCTAGTTTGGGGTTTTACATGTAGGTCTTTAATCCATCTTGAGCTGATTTTTGTGTACGGTGTAAGGAAGGGGTCCAGTTTCAATCTTCCGTGTATGACTAGCCAGTTAGCCAGCACCATTTCTTGAATAGGGAAACTTTTCCCCACTGTTTGCTTTTGTCAGCATTGTTGAAGATCAGATGGTCACAGATGTGCGACCTTATTTCTGGGCTTTCTATTCTATTCCATTGGTCTGTGCCTGTTTTTGTACCATTACCATGCTGTTTTGGTTATGGTAGCCTTGTAGTATAGTTTGAAGTCAGGTAATGTGATGTCTCCAGCTTTGTTCCTTTTGCTTAGGATTGCCTTGGCTATTCAGGCTCTTTTTTGGTCCCATATGAATTTTAAAATAGTTTGGTTTTAGTTCTGTGAAGAATGTCATTGGTAGTTTGATAGGAATAGCACTGAATCTGAAGATTGCTTTGGGCAGTATAGCCATTGTAATGATACTGATTCTTCCTATCCATGAGCATGGGATGTTCTTCCCTTTGTTTGTGTCTTCTCTGATTTCTTTGAGCAGTGTTTTGTAGTTCTTACTGTAGAGATCTTTCACCTCCCTGGTTACATGTATTCCTAGATGTTTTATTCCTTTTTTGGCAGTTATGAATGGGATTGCCTTTCTGATTTGGCTTTCAGTTTGGCTGTTGGTGATGCATAGGAATGCTAGTGATTTTCGTACATTGATTTTGTATCCTGAAACTTTGCTGAAGTGTATCAGCTGAAGGAGCTTTTGGGCCAAGACTATGGGGTTTTCTAGATATAGAATCATGTCATCTGCAAACAGAGATAGCTTAACTTCTTCTCTTCCTATTTAGATGTTCTTTATTTCTTCCTCTTGCCTAATTGCTGTGGCTAGGACCTCCAATACTGTGTTGAATAGAAGTGGTGAGAGAGGGCACCCTTATCTTATGCCAGTTTTCAAGGAATGCGTCCAGTTTTGGCCCACAGTTGGCTGTGGATTTGTCATGGATGGCTCTTACTATTTTGAGGTATGTTCCTTTGATACTTCCTTTGATACCTAATTTATTGAGAATTTTTAACATGAGGAAATGTTAAATTTTATCAGAAGCCTTTTCTGGGTCTTTTGAGATAATCGTGGTTTCTGCCTTTAGCTCTGTTTTTGTGATGAATCACATTTATTGATTTGCATATGTTGAACCAGTCTTGTGTCCCGGGGATGCAGCCTACTTGATTGGCCTGAAGTTTTCTTTTTCTGTTGTGTCTCTGCCAAGTTTTGGTATCAAGATGATGCTGGCCTCATAGAATGAGGGTTGGGGAGGAGTCCCTCTTCCTCAATTTTATGGAATAGTTTCTGTAGGAATGGTACCAGCTCTTCTTTGTACATATGGTAAAATTCGACTGTGAATCCATCAGACCTCAGACTTTTTTTAGTTAGTCAGCAATTCATTACTGATTCAATCTCGGAACTCATTACTAGTCTGTTCAGGGAATCAATTTCTTCCTAGCTCAGTCTTGGGAGGGTGTATGCGTCTAGGAATGTATCCATCTCTTCTAGGTTTTCAACTTTTTGTGTATAGAGGTGTTCATAGTAGTTTCTTTTTTTTTTTTTTTTTTCCTGTAGAGTCAGTAGTAACATTTTCTTCTTCGTTTCTAGTTGTGTTTATTTGATCTTCTCTCTTTTCTTCTTTATTAGTCTAGCTAGTGGCCTATTTTATTAATTTTTTTTACAAAAAACCCACTCCTGGATTCATTGATCTTCTGAATGGTTTTCATGTCTCTGTTTTCCTCAGTTCAGCTCTGATTTCTATTACGTCTCATCTTCTGCTAACTTTGTGGTTGATTTGTTCATGCTTTTCTAATTCTTTAAGTTGTAAAGTTAGGTTGTTAATTTGAGGTTTTTTGGCTTTTTGATGTCAGCATTTAGTGCTATGAATTTCCCTCTTAACACTGCCTTAGCTGTGTCCCAGAGATTGTGATATGTTGTATCATTGTTCTTGTTATTTTCAAAGAACTTTTTTTTTTTTTTGAGGTGGAGTCTTGCTGTGTCACCCAGGCTGGAGTGCAGTGGCGTGATCTTGGCTGACTGCTGCCTCCACCTCCTGGGTTCAAGCGATTCTCCTGCCTCAGCCTCCTGAGTAGCTGGGATTACAGGCCCACACCACCCCTACGCCCAGCTAATCTTTGTATTTTTTTTAGTAGAGACAGGGTTTCACCATGTTGGCCAGGCTGGTCTCCAACTCCTAACCTCAAGTGATCTACCTGCCTCAGCCTCCCTAAGTGCTGGGATTACAGGCATGAGCCATCACGCCCAGCCCAAAGAACTTCTTGACTTCTGCCTTAATTTCATGTATTTACCCAAAAGTCATTCAGGAGCAAATTGTTTAATTTCCATGTAATTGCATGGTTTTGAGCGATACTCGGTCTTCTATTTTTATGGTACTGTGGTCTGAGAGTGTGTTTGGTATGATTGTGGTTCTTTTACATTTGTTGAGGATTGTTTTATGTCCAATTATGAGGTCAATATTAGTGGTTGTGGCCAAGGGTCGTTTGCTTGTCTCCTGGGGGCTCCAC